ATTTCCTTTTTCTCGATTCTTTGCTCTAAAAGAGTTTACAACTCGACTTCATATTCTGCTAATTGAAATCTTTTTCGACAGTTGAATTGCAGACATGAGGGGATCCTCTATTCTCTGAAACATTTTGCTAACTGTGAGACATCGGTGGTTGAATGCTGATTCCTAAATGCTACCTGCCGTCTTGTGCAGTTTCAAATCCGCGAGTAAATTGTGCAGATGAAAATCTTGCACATATCAGACAGATAGTTTTACACACGGCAGACTTAGTGGATGCCTTTCGTAGCTGTCAGCACTGTTACGGATTACTTTCGGCCCTCTGGAATTTTGCTGGGACACAGGTACTAGGAAGTGCGATCGCTATTCGCATGCATTTTTTTCCATCTTTAGCGCGAAACTCTCGAAGGTTATCTCCGCAGATTTTGGCTTCGTGATGCATTTCCGCACTCAGTTGCATTTAACTCTGTATATTTGTTGCATTAGACGTTGACTCTAAGTTAGGGCTTTCGATAACAATCGCTGAGAAAAGCAGGCTGTAGAAATTCTACAGGTTTGTCTGGTTTGTTGTGCACGCTCGTCATTATGAACAGTAAATAGCGACGCGTACCAGGATAGTCGGTGCGACTACGCGTTTTTCGCAATTTCGTCCAGCGAACCTGTGCCTATTATTTCGCTGTTTTGCATTTCCACGTGTTCAAAAATAGTCGATATTTTGTCTGTTTCCTAGGCTGCGAAATTTCTCACTAGAAAATTCATGCACCGATGTGTGAGACGTAAGTGCACGTGAAAGCGAATATCCTTGGGATTGTGAATATCCTTCCAAAATTTGACCTAGTTTTCTGGCTTGTGGGTGACTTTCGCGCCACAATTTCCACCTGTTCGTACGTGAAAATTCGGCACACTTGAGAGCTGAATTTGAGTTTGTTGGGTCCCTGCATAGGCGGAAAATATGTCCCTGGATTTTTCAGCCTCCTTGTTCTGGCTGCCGAGATGATAATTTTTCCTACTGAAATTTTTACAGGGCCGTACGTGATACCTAGACATGCGTTGAGCTGATTTTGAATTTGTTACATCGTGCGTAAGCAGAGAAAATAACCTTAAATTTTCAGCCTCCGTGGTCCTCGGGATAACAAATTTATCCGTCAAAACTTTTCTAGGACTGTATGTGGTACCCAGGAGCACGTGAAGGCTGAATTAAAATTTGC